TAATATATTTATTGTGGCTCTCGTTCTCTTCGCTACACTGCACAAGGTACGATTCCCAAACAATTTATTTTAAATGAAATAGTTACATTTCTCATATTTAAATAAATATATTATGCTAAGCTAACCTATCTCATATTTTACTTTTAATAAACCTTTTATCGGTCTGTTGTCTCACCCCCTCCTTCATTATTATATAGGATTTAACTTGTAATATACAATAAACTTATTGAATTTAAAACAAATTAAACAATAACTTAAAATTTATCGAATTTAAAAACATTTAATGGTAAATCTAAATATATTTCCGCGAATATGAAGTTGATGATTTATTTTCAAAAAAGATAGTCCAGCAGTAGTCCGCCAACATATTTATACGATTCTTGCCGGGAATTTAAATTGAAAACTTAAGACCCCCAAAACGAAATTCTTTACCATTTTTCTCAAAAAGCAATCGATAAAAAATTATAAAAATTAATAAATTTATAAGGAAATATAAGTCTAACACTATCACCAATTTTCAGGGATTTTCATTTGATACTTTTTAAAATATATCCGTATAAAGACCTAAATTTTATCATTTTTGAGATTTCGAAAAGTTGCCTTTATACGATAATATTTTTAAAACTTGACGTGAAGGGAAAACTTAGAAAACGAATTCTAACTCAATGTCAAATTCTGCACCAAAACTTGTTTTTATTTATTTTTTCTCCCATTTTTCTTGTCACACAGTGTAATTAATAAAAATTGATAAAGACATAATAATCTATATTTTTTCAACTTTTAGGTAGAGATATCAACATCCAAGGATGTTTTTATCATCTAACTCAATCAACTCATAGAAAGATTCAGGAATTGGGGTTAGAATCATCATATCGGAATGATCCAGTGTTATGCTTATTTGCAGCTATGATCGATGGATTAGCATTCTTACCTATACACGATGCCAAACGAGGTATGGAGTATTTAAAAACCATTGTATCGGATGAAAACAAAGAATTATTGTTTTATTTTGATAAAAATTATGTGAATGGAGAATTGAGACATGGGAAAAACTCTCAAAGGCAAGTAGAGCCATTGTTCCCACCAGAAACATGGAATGTGTTCAATGTTACGATTGCTGGGGAAAATCGAACAAACTGTGAAGGATGGAATAACCGATTTAAGCATATTGTAGGCAACAAAAAACCGAAGATATGGGAACTACTCGAAAAAATAAGGATGGAAATAGCGGTTGATATGGGAAAAATCGGCCAATGGAATATTGGGACATACACTCCCAAAAAAAATCGTATTTATGCAACGAAACAAACTATTTTAAAAAATTTATGCATTGATTATTTAGAAGAGAGAAGGGACTTGCCCAATTTTCTCTCTTCAATTGGAGAACATATACGTTCTAGAATTGTTTCTTTTGAATAATATAATTTATTATTCTATATATCATTTAATAAAATTATAATTATTTCTTTTCTGTAACTTTTGAAAAAAATTCATAAGCAAAATAATAATTGCTAGATTAGAAAAATATAATACTCACTGCTGATAATCACCTCTGGATGTATTTTGATTAAAGTGGTCAGCATTTTCATTACTTTTGGCAGTATTTAATTAAAATTGGGCAGTAAAAAATATAATTTTGCAAGTTTTATAGTGATTTTGTATTCAGTCAGTTAAATTCTTAAAGTAGGTAAATACTTCAGTAAAATAATTTTTATCAAATAGAGGGTATCAGATTGAATTGCTAATTTCCTATTTCGCCACAAAATTTATAAAATTATATTATTTAATAGTTTATCCTTGTAAAAACAAAAGTGGGCGCTATTTAAGAGTCAGTAAACTGTGAAAAGCCTTTTATCATATTTCTAAAAAAATGATTAAAATTTGTGTAAAAATAATTTTTCAATAAATACCTAAAAGTTGATGAAAGTGTGTAAAGGTGAACTAGATTTATTTAACTTTCGTTTTATTATTTAAAATCTCAAATCCTCGAAGAAATTTGACTTTAAAAAACATTTCTATTTAATTAAATACTGCAGAGCAGATCTGGGTCACGGGATTTTTTTTCCGGGGAATTATTTTCCTAGATTCAAATTTACTAGTAATATAATTTGAAAATTGTTCATTTTTGTTTTATATATCTATAAATACATATAAAACATAATCCCAAAAAATTATTTTCAAAATATTTTTTAGGATAATGCTTAGCACGTAAATATACACGTATAAAACAAAAATGAAGAGATTTTGATAAATAACGCCAGCAATATTTACTTTAAAAAATTTCCATTGTTTTACTATTCTAAACCTACTCATAAATTAAACATTAAAGAAACCTAAAATTTTTTTTTAATTTTTAGGTTTTTCATATGTATATATACCCAAATATAAAAAAAAGTGCTATCCAATCATCATTCCGTTTCTTAAAATGATACATATTAAAACATATAACGCCCTCTAACGGATATATATTTGTTAATTTTTAAAATTGAATAAAATGTATATTTGTTTTAATAAGCTAGAAAAATAAATTTCTTACTAATAATATTAAATAAAAATAAAATTATATACTATATCATTTAATCAGTATTCTTCATTTATAATAAAAAAATGATTTAAATATATTTTTAAAAAAGTTTAAAAAATTATCATTAAAAAAATATACGTAATAAATTTTTGATTGATTTATAATTGATTATGATTGATTGCTTTTTAGCAAAGCAGTTTAGCAATGTAGCAATTCAATATATAGTGGGGAATTTTTTTCCGGGGAATTATTTTCCAGGGGGATTTTATTCCGGGGATTTTTTTTCCGGAGAATTATTTACCTGGGATTTTTTTTCCGGAGAATTATTTACCTGGGAATTATTTTCCGGGTATTTTTTTTCCTGGGGATTTTTTTTCTGGGGAGTTATTTTCCGGGAATTTTTTTCCGGGATTTTTTTTCCGGGGAATTATTTTCCGGGATTCATTATTACTTGCAGATTACACACCGAAAATCGTAATGGCTTTTTTAGCATATTTTCCTTAAGTGAAATGATTTCAGAACTATCACTATCATTTACTATTAAATTTGTTTCAATTTCACTTCTAAAAAGTAACGCCAAGTTTAAAGTAGGCCCTTTTTGTACTGAAAGAAATTCAACAGTTTCTTTAAATTTTGAAAGAAATGCTAATAGTTCTTCTACCAGCTCAGATTCATAATTTGATAAAGTGCTTCCCAATTCTTTCAAACATTATTAATTAAATTCTTATTTAATCCAGATATGCTTTCTAGCATAATTAATATACTATGTCAACGTGTTGTGACATTGATTTTAAGGTTTTCATATGAGTGGAATTATTGTTATTATTATCATTGGAATTGCCAATTTGAAAACGGGTATCCTGGTATGGATCAATGCTGTCAAGATCTAACATGTCTGATGTTAAATCTATTGTACTTAGTCATTTTTTTGATCTTCCTCAATTCAAATTCAACTTCTGCAGTTTTATATCTTATAGCAGTAATAATTTCTCTAATTCTTTTGCAAAAAAATTTCCAAACTATGGATTTTTTATTATTCAGAGTTAGGATACTAATATTATTTATAGAATTATTAAATGTAGACATCCATTTTTTAAAATATATAAAATTATGGTAACTTTTGGAATTTTCCGTGATCCGTGATATATTGAATTCTATAATGACGTCAATATAATTATGATTTTAGAAAATAAAAATTCATCAAAATCCTGATTGACATTAAAAAAAATTACAACAGTGATGTTGACCAATTATTAGAATAAAAAGGTATGAAATTTTTGCGCCGCCCGTGCGCTGCCGATATGAAAATCGGCGGCGTTTTTGAGTAACCAAAAAAGGTAGGCGCACAGGTCTACCTATAGGTTATATTCAAATTGTATTGAGGCATTTTCCAGGCCCACCTTGGTAAAAAATTATAGGATATTTTTTATTCAAAAAGATAATTGCTTATGATCCATGATTACCAAAAAGTTCTAAGACTGAAATATGTATGGCTGTAAACTATAAACCAAATTGAATTTGAGAGTGATAATAATCAACACAGATGAGATGCCTTTATTTGGTGGATTGCCTTGGATTAACTTTCAATATAGAATATTCCATGCTATGGTTCAAATTAATAAAAAACATTGATAACACAAAGAAAACAATAGTGGTATCTGTGGATAGGGAAGTTATTAAAAAGTATAAAGTGGGATATGAAGAAAAACATAGATCACAGTTTAACAGTGAGGAATATTTGGATGATTTTGCTGTTTTCATGGTTTTTCTCATATTCAAGGAGAGGTATAGAGCTTTCACAAGATTCTAGAACAGATTTAAAAATGCTTTAAAAGATGTCCAAGAGGCAAATCATATGGGCAAATATAGTTTCACTAATAAAAGTGCTACAGATGTTAGGCAACAGACTAAAACTAATTTAGATTGGGCAAGACTAGATAAAAGATATATAAGAATGAAAAATGTAAGATAAAAGATTTGCAATGAGAGAATACTGCTCCTTAACAATTTGCATTTAAAGCTGGCAGAACAGTATAATTAAGTCATGAAGTTCCTTTTTCATATATTATAGGTTCTACTAATAGATCTTTTATAATAGACTCCTGTTGTGAGAACAATTGTCATAGCAACTTGATAAAGCAGGGGGAGGTTGTTGGATAACTATGAATATTTTTTTTCAAATCATATTTATAATAAACAAAATAATTTCAAATGAACTGAATATTCTATGTATAATATTATTATACAAATGCCATCAATTAAATCATAATGTTAAACTTGCCATCATGATTGGTTTGATGCACTAAGGCAAAGTTTGAGAGAATTTGTAATAGATAGTTTGTGTATTTAATAAAATAGATACAAAGCCAATGGTGTCTTAAAATTTTTTTAATTTAAATTTATTTGGCTGATAAATATCATTCTTGTTATGAATAAAATATTTTTTTAAAAAATTATGGACAAATATTTATCTAACCTTCTAATTTGATCAGCTTGGTTGTTTAATTCATAAATTCTTGCATAATAGAAGTAGCATTTTGCTGCCAATAAATCTAATGTTCTTCTATTCTGAGAAATCAATTTTTCCATCATATTATCTGCACAACATTTCCCCTATAAGAAAAGTTTACAATAATAGATCATTTTATTATGAACCTTTTTAAAATCCTTATTGTCTATAAGATGAAGTAATACCAATAAGTGTGTATATATATGAATTTCAGGGATTACATTTCCCTTGATTTTGTTTATCTTAATTGAATCAGATAATAATGCATCAACCTGCAATTTTAAAGTATTATCAAGAATTAAATTTTGAATACCTCCATGTCATCATTTCCAATAAATGTATCGATTGTTTCCTTACTATTAGGATTCAAATAGCTAATTATAGAAGTTAAAATATCATCGGATAACTTTTTCCTAATTGTTATCAATGAACGCAAAGCTCTTGTCATATACCTTGAATCTCTCAAATTTACAGATTTTTCGATATTTCTAATCTGGTCTTTCAAATCATCTATATAATTGTATTATCAAACAATATATATTAAATGCCTAACTAATTATAATCTCTTTAGGATCCAGAACAACTCTAGGTTCTTCTTCTTTCGGTTGAGTTTTTGTTTCGATCAGTATGGCCATATCAATTTTGATTCACCAAGGAAAACTACAACATTAAATATATATTTCTACTAAATCATTGATAAACTTATCCAAATATAATAGTGTAATAATGATAGTGCCCTCCCCATCTAATAATTCAAAATATTGTCAAATTTCCCTTTAAAATTATACCTTAAAATTTTTCTAAATCAACTCTCATTATAATAGATATTATCACATTTCAGAAATTCAAGAGTGCCTTAGCTGTATAAACTAGGCATGAGCTTATTTTTAATTATATAGTCGACAATAATTGCATTTTGACAGCTGTCCCCTGATATTTCCTGTTCATCGTGTGTAACTAAACTGAGAATTGACAGGAAAACTGCGAATGGAAAGGTAAACTGAGAATAGAAGTATAAATTTATTTATGGTCTATCAATTATATTTTAAAATATTAAATAATGTATTTGTATTATGTAAATCAAATTTATCCATAATTAAAATTATCTAAATAAAAAAAATAGAATATGGAAGAAAGAGTAGTTCATAAATTAAAAATATGTATAGAACAGATATGTTAAATAGAAAATATAACATTCATAATAAATTAAAAATTTATAAATGTATTTCGGTTAGATGACAGTTTTTAATAAATAAAATATGAATAATATGAGCATAATTCTTTACTTTGGATTAATTTATTTAGTACAAGCTATATAATCATAAAATGAAAAAAAATTTAAGTTTCCATCATTATTTTTTGAGTTATGATGTCAATTCGTTTAGACGATTTTTTAGATTTTTGCGATTTTAAAAATATTTTATTTTTTTGACTCATTTTGTGTAAACCCAATCATATTAAAATAAAAATAATTTAAGTTTCCATCATTATTTTTTAATTAAATTTTTTATTACCCAATTTATTATTATCAAAACATGATTTTACAATTTTTATATGATTCTCTTTCAAATCATATGGTCACTGTAATTCTCTCATATTTTGAACACAATTTAAAGCTATATGTCCAATTTTTTCACAATTGAAACACATTCGAGCACCATCCATATTATCATTATTCATATCTATTTGATGTGAAAAAATAGGATCTTTAATTGTACGCACCACAGGATTTACCAAAATTGGTGGTTTTTGTGGAAAATTTATTTTAAAATTTGCTTCTTTCACTAAGCAATTCTTTTTAATGTGTTCTTTTTAATGTGACCCATAAATCCACATCTATGGCACACCAAATCTTTATCTACTCTAACTGTAACATTATCATTATTATTCCGATCACGTGAAAAACAATTTTTTTCACTATGACCAGATTTCCCACACACTTCACAATTTATACTCAAAGTATTATTTCTTTTTTTAAGAAAGTATACTTCACTAGAAAGATTTTTTAAATTTTCTTTCATTTCTCAAATTTCACTTAAAATTATATATTCATTTTCACTTTGTTCCACATGATTAAGTATATTATTATTCTTTACATTTTCTACAGGTTTTTCAATCATAACCTCAGAAATTTGTCTTTTAAATTCATTTTCAATTGATAATAAATTATCATTTATATTTTCATATAAAACCCTATTTTCAGAAGAATTATCCTTTATATTTTTAGAATAAACAATACTTTCAGGAACATTATAATTATCAATTACTTTAACATTTAACTTTTTTAACTCCAATAAAATTAAATGCAAGCTATTTCTTATATCCTCAGAAAAATCTGTAGAATTCTCTGATAAATAATTACTTACATTATCAGTATCTGAATATTTTACCCTATTTTCCTTAATTCTTAATGATTTTCTCTTTATTTTATTACTTAATTGTTTCATTAAAATAAATATTATATATAAACCAAAAAAAATTAATGCCGATATCAAATTATTTTTCAAATCCACCCTATTAAAATTCGAAATAAAAATTTTATTAAAGTTACTCTTAAAATTTGCCATTTTATTAATATTATACTTATTATAATTATCATTAAAATAAAAAGCCATTTTTTCATTAATTACCCAAAATTTAAAATTTATCTCATATATTTCTAATTTTAATCCAAAAAATCTTACTATTGCGTTGTGTATACCAAAAAAAATCAACAAAAATATTTTTAAAAAAAAATATTCTTTTACCTTATATCCAGTTAGAAAAGTTTATTAGAAGAACTAGGAACCCTTTCCTTTGCGTTGTTTTCTTACGTGGAACTTTGTCCAATAATTCTTCTTATTATATACTCTCTATTTTTTTCAGGAACTCGGTTATGATATATTTTCTTTTTCAGAATTTCCCTAATAAGTGTTTCGATTCTGGTTAGATGGCACCAATTTGTGAGATATGGTTTTTATTAAAATTTCAATACCAAAAAAATTATCAAAAGTCAAAAGTTAAAAGTAAAAAAAATACAAAGTCAATTTAATATCACTTCTCGAAAAATTACTAAATATAAATATATTATAATGTATATGTATGAATATATATCATAATAGTACAAAACTACAACATGGATAAATTTGATTACATAATAAAAACATTTTATTTTTAAAATAAAATTGATAGGCTATAAAATAAAAATATATTTTACCCATCTATTCTCAGTATACCTGTCCATTCGTAGTTTACCTGTCAATTCTCAGTTTATTTACACCGAATTCAGCTATTTTATTTATTAGACATACAAAACATTGAAAAAATTGATGCATTCATCTCAAGTAGATGAGGTTTACAAAATACCGAGTTTATGCCCTAATTGTGAAAAACAAGTAGAAGAATAATTGTGTAGAATAATTTAATAATAATATAGGGTTTAACTCAAATTCTCCCAACAAACATTCCATTTTTTAGAGAGGTAATTATAACATCGTTTTGTTGCCCTCACTGTAATCACACTAATAATGAAATTATGCAAGCCGAGGAAATAAAAACCTATGGAATAAGATACATCTTGAATATAAAAAATGAAAAGGTTTGTTAGAAAATATATATCTAAATTATTTATTAAAAAGGATTACAATAGAATGATTGTCAAAACTGATTATGCCACTATGAACTTTCCAGAAATAGAATTAGAGATTCCACCCTCTTATCAAAAAGCAGGTATTTATATATATTTCAATAATTTTATCATTTAATACATATATTTTATTTTATAATATTATTATTATAGATTAAGGGCTTTTGATTAACATAAACTGTACCCTACAAATTAAATAATTTTTTAAATAATATTTATGACAATAAATAATCATTTAAAGAGATAACAACAATTGAAGGTATAATCCAAAAAGCTTATGAAGACCTTGATAGAGATTATGGAGGAACGAATTCCAATCACATTAATAATGAAGCTCTGACAGCCTTTATAGCTAAACTAAAAGAAATATTAGACACCAAACCTTTGCAAAATTTTTCTTTTGTATTAGATGACCCTAGCGGAAATAGTTTTTTAGAAAACCCTTATGCACCCACTGAAGATTCTTCATTACAAATCTTAAAATATGACAGAACAAATGAACAAAACATTGCTTTAGGATTTTCTGATGTTTATTATTATCTCAATATATTATTTTATTAAATAAATATTTTATACAAATAATATAACAATCTAATCAGCATGGCAAAATAATAAGCAATTAAATTACTAGATTTTGTTAATTTTTAAAGTTAAGTAAAAATATCTATATATATACAATTATTTATAGAATAATAGTCAGCTGCATTTTTTTTCTTTAAACAATAAGACACTTTATAGAAAAACAATATTAACTATACTCAATTTATAAGCATAAATGGTTAAAGGACTACTTGATGTAAACCATATTGATATCAAAAATTTAAATTGATAGTCATACAAGCAATGTGACCCTCTATTATTATCCTTGTATATTTTTTAATTACATAGTTATATAATAGTTTTTGTTAAAAAATGTGAGAAACAAATTCTCACTTTTTGAAGGCAATATGGGCTATTCTATTATCTTCTTTGTTATGCTGTTATTTTGATTAATAAGTGATATAATTGCAAAGTATATAATGAATTTAGAAAATATTGAAAATGAAAGGCCTCAAATTTCATGGGAAATATAGTCAATTCTATTAGCACAATCACTTCTATTATATTACTTAGCAAAATAACTACATGTAGCAGCCATTTAAAATTAAAAATATGTTATACCTTATCCTAGTTCAATAATAATGAATTTTTTTTGCCTAATTTAATAATTATTGTTATCAAATATACTTATCTACAAGTTATATTGCTAAAATTAATAACCAATTTGAGTTAAATAACATTAAATACAAATTTGGCATAGAAATTTATGGCTAATTTATTGATATTAGAATTGATTTCTATGTTTATTTATACCACACTGCTTGATTCTTTTACTAAACTAGTTTTTACTATAGCTCAATATTATATAAATTATATTATATTTTTAAAATATCCATTTATGTTAAATTTGTTATAATAAAATCATTTCTCTATCTAGTTGTATCTTAAGATATTTAAAATTATAAGGATTTAATATTATGCAATTCAATTTCACATTAGATATTTTAAGAATCAGTATAACAATCATCTAAAAGAAATTAAATGATATCATTTTAATATGAGAGAAATAAATTCCCAAATGACCATAAAACAGGGCTGTGAACCAGAACAATATTTTACTGAACCTAAACCTGAACCCGTTTCAATTCAGAGTTTAATAAATTTTTTTAAATATTAAATTTTTATTTATTTTAAAAAATATTATAAAAATGACATATATATATAAACTATATTAACATTAAATATGAAAAAACTTAAAACTATTTTAAAACATATAACATCATTTTTTTTATTTTCATTATGAATATTTTGTGTGGAATACATTTTATTTTAGATCCATTTTATAAAAAATTTGAAATTTTATTAGCATATTTTGTAACTTTTTTTAAGTAATAGATAATATTTATGAATATTTATTTTTTTTATGTTGGATTATTAAATGTGAGATCATAAAATAAGAACAGAATCACAAGGTAAAATAGCCTTATTAATTGCAAGTTGCAATGAACTGCCAAAGTTAGGCATAAAAATCGATTTTAATGTTAACATCTCGATTTTGGGATATCATGATAATTTGCTTATATAATAATTATAATGATAAATTATTTTTATGCTAAGGCCTAAAATTAGTAAAATAAAGTTAAAAAACTGATGTTTCTATTGTTTTTACTAAATTTTATAGGCCCTTATTTTTCTGGATGAAGCCTGAACCCAAACTTGGTTCAGAGATATTTCACTCAGAACTCAAACCTGAACTCTTTTTTTTAGAAAGAGGGTTCACAGCCCTGATATAAAACCTAAAAAAGAAACTAAATAAATGACAAAAAACGTTTGAAAACATTAGTTAATATAAATGGCATTTACATATAATTTTACATAATCGAAAAGATAATTTTACAACGTAATCTATACTGTATTGCTTTATTCCTTATCTATTATATAGACATGCAAGTCGATTCAAAATCAGGCTTTTGCCTAAAAAATTGGGCCATGTTAGGCTTTGGCTAAAGAAAATTCCTATAAATAAAATTTTGTTTTTTAGATTAATGATCTTATTTGTATTTAACCTTAAAGGCTACTAATTTTATTTTTTTTAATTAAAGTTTTGCGCCTTAAATTAAATTAAATGAATATCATGGACTAGGCTTGACCCAAAAAAATAAATTTGCGAACTTTAATATACATAAAAGTTTTAATTTATCAAAATGATGGATATTAATCTAAATTCTACCATTTATAATAGATCGAGGATAAAGAAGATTCGAAAGTACTAACTACCCCATGTTCCCAACAATTTAAAAATATTGAAGAAGTTAAAAGTGAGGTTTTATGAAAAATTCTTGAATGTGTATATTTATTTTAATTTAATATAAAAAAAAAAGGTCTTGCAATTTCCTAGTAATTGTCCTAGTTGTAATTTTCCAACAGTTACGAACATGAAAATGATTTGTAAGTAAAACTAATCTAATAAATTTTCTTTTTTAATTAAGTTTTTAAATACAATTTTTTTTAAAGATGCAGCTGTATATTCTAAATTTAGAAATGCAGTTATACTCTTAAATATATCCCTAGCTTTAAACAAATTAGGCCGGCCTTCCGAAAATAGAATCTAGATACAGATTCTTTATAAAAAAAATGGATCATAGTTAGTGATCTACATCGGGCCTAATCTTTCAAGCCTGGCCCGGCCCAAAATTTATTTTATAAAGTTTTACCCAGCCTGGCCCGAACCCGAAATTTTTTTAAAAAATTTTTGCCAACCCGGCCCGATTTTATTTAAATATAGAAATCAATTTTTGTAATTACTCAAAATAAACGATATATGTTATTTGGCGTCTACTTTCTATAAATAAAATCACATATTTTTATTTTACATAAAAAATTCAACATAAAATTGATAAATTTAGATATATTTTAAAAAAAATTTAAGGCCCGACCCGACCCGAATTTTCTTAAAAAAATTAAGCCCGAAGCCCATTCGGACCGGATATGGGCCGGACCCACTTTTGCAGATCTCTATCTTAGATACAGATACTAATATCTTATTCAAAATATCGAGAAGATAAAATAACTTGCACCTATGGATAAATGAGATTAGCTTAAATACAATATATTTTTATAAAATTATCACTACCAATTAAATTAGAATAGTTTATAAAATACAATTTTTATTTTTTATTGGTGAAGAACATAACAAATATTTACAATAATAAAATATTTGGATCACGAGTTAATTATAATAATCAGGCATTTTAATATATTCACAGTATAAACAGTGAAAGGAGACTAGTATTTTTAATAGGAGCTGAAATATTAATTAGCAAAAAAGTATTTTAAATTAAATCAATATTTTTAAGATAATTAATTTTTCAAAAATTTATCATTAAACCTTTGCAGTTTTTGTATATTTAACATTATGCTAAAAAAGAGAAAGAATAAATTTCCTTAATAAAAATATAATAATTAAGCATCTATTGATGTTATTGATTTTATTATATCGAAATTAACTTTTACTTTAAAGTATCCATTAACTTTAAGTATTTATTTTATTTTTTAAACATTTTAATAATACTGAATAATCGATATAACTTTTATTTTGTTATGCAAAATGTATGTATATAAACAAAGAAACGCGATTTTCTTGATCGTTAAAAAATGTAACATTATTTTTAAAATTATGAGTTTCCTAATGACCAAATTTTTTTTTACTCAATATGTTGATAATATATAATTAGGTTCATTCCATGTCAAATCAATCATCTTTCTGCCGATTCCTTTCGATTTCTATAAAAAAATTAAGCTGGTGGGTTCACGATCATAAACAAAATTTTAGCCCATTAGCAACTATAGGTCCAAAAATGTTTTTGCTTTTTACTAATGTTAAATGACTAGTTTTTAATTTAAACTAAATAATCGAATATTGAATTTATAGCTAAGTCAATTGATAATTATGGCGAAAACATCTAAATTAATTTTTTTTAATATATGGGTCATCTTATGGTCAATAGAAAATTTCAAATTATTATTTTGAATCCAATTTTTAATTTTTTGAATTTCTTCAACCATTAGCATGGCTGGATATTTATTTAAAATATTGGATTTTTATACTTGAAAAAAAGATGGTGCTATATATATAATATATTTAATATGTTAAAATTCATTTTTTTTATTGCTTAAAAATATTTTAATGTATATATATCATACCTAATCGATTACAATGCATTATATATTTATTTGTATGAAATCTTCCCAAATTTTGCTCTTAAGATAGTTTATAAATTAATTAAATCTTACTTCATCTAAAGGAATACAAAGCCTTGCTAACTTGTGAGATTTCTTCAAGAGTTTATATATATGTTCGATTAGCGGGAGTAGAAGGATTGACCAAAGAGAGAATATGAGATTTGGGCGATTTGGACATAATATTCTTAAAATAAATTATATGGGGTAACAAGAAAGGATAAAGTGCGCAGTACAAGAATACTAAGTAGTTTAAAGGCGTATCAGGTCAATTCAGCGAAACTTTTATCGCGAATGTCGTTTATCGCGAAGAAATTTTATAGCGAAGGCAATATCGCGAAACCAATTCCGCGAATTTTTTTCCGCGAAACTTTTATAGCGAAGACAATATCGCGAACTTATTATCGCGAATTTATTTCCGCGAAACCATGACCGCGAATACTTTATAGCGAATACATTATAGCGAAACTTTGATCGCGAACTCGTTATAGCGAATTTATTTCCGCGAAACCGTAACCGCGAATACTTTATAGCGAATACATTTTAGCGAAACTTTTATCGCGAACTCTTTATAGCGAATTTATTTTCGCGAAACTTTAACCGCGAATACTTTATAGCGAATTTATTTTCGCGAAACTTTAACCGCGAATACTTTATAGCGAATACATTTTGGCGAAACTTTGATCGCGAACTCATTATCGCGAATTTATTTCCGCGAAACCTAAACCGCGAATACATTTTAGCGAAACTTTGATCGCGAACTCGTTATAGCGAAACTTTAATCGCGAACCATTTATAGCGAATTTTCTACCGCGAATGTATTTGCGCGAAATTATTATAACGAGCGCATGACCGCGAAAATTGTGAATTCATTTTAAGTGAAATCGATATATTCAATATCAATTTACCAACTGAAGTTTCTTAAATCATAAACGCTAATGTTTTAAGAATATTTTATTACGTATTGTTTATTTAATAAGCATGTAACCTCTATCTGATGTGATAGAAAATATATTAGTCTTCCTGGTCTCACTCACTCATGGTTGTAAGTATGGAGCGGACATTTTGGGTTAAGTTTTTAGCAGAATAAGTTAACCACCCCCCCCCCCCCCCAACATAAAATTTAAAAGTGTGCTTTATGTCATTTAAAGTAATACTTTATTTCTAATCTAGATAAAAAAAATATACTGAAAGCTAAGAATTTTTTATTGATTTTCTCAGATTATTTTAATTATAGAAAATTTTACTGTTAATTAATGCCTCCTAATTACAATTTTGAGATAATGCACATCGATATAACTTTGATATAATAGTAACTAATTCATTTGAATATTATGACCTTTCCTTTTTCTTCTATTCGCATTTTAATAAATAGAAATAACTGCAAAGTTATGATTAATCAAAAAAAAATTCAAAATATTCTAGATTACATAAATTTGTAATATTTATGAAGAATAAATTTTGGAAATAAATCATTAGATCTTCAATTATTTTAGTTTTTTATTTTTGCTGATTTCACAAGTCAAACTAAACAATATAAAAAAAAAATTAAAAAACGTAAAATAGTTTTCATCATTTTTTAAAATAATACCAGTTCAATATAGCGTATTTGTGAAAACATCGCTAAACGCTTCTACTCAATTTGTAAGCACTTTTACTCATTTTTTCTAATAAAATGGAATTAAAAAAATCAGGGTTTTTTGAAAATAAATAGAAAATCCAAATCAAGAAAATAAAGATATTCCAATATCGGGAAATCAGGGCAAAATGGGTTAAGTGTTTATTTATTTACTTTTACATATTTTACCACGACAAGGGTGGGGGGGGGTTGATAAAAACATTTTCTAAATTTTGAGAGGAATATATAAATGAAGGATAATAAAAAATAATTATAAAAAGTGGCTATATTTTAATTATATTAAATAGGTGTATTATTCAATTTTCTCATTCATTTTGTAAATTGCAAAAATTTTAGGCCCGGCCATACCTCCCATATTCTAAGAGTGAGGTGGGATTTTTAATGACTAAAGGATAAAAAGCGGGAAAGCGCCACAACTGCAATCCTTTTATATATTAATATTGGTGAATAATTTTTTTCAAATTATAATTTACAAATTTTGATCGCCGGGGTGGCCTAATGGGTAAGATGTAGGCTTGGAAACACGAGTATGAACAAGGACGCGGGTTCAATCCTGGTAAGAACCATAAAAACTTTCAAGTTTTTCTTCGATGACTGATGTGTAAAGACATATGGTATGATGAATTTCGGAGATTAGAGATGACACCCCGGTCACCGACAGGCCTGGACAGCCGGGTGCTAAGGATACCTGTCCAATAAACAAAATGAAGGACACAAATGAAAATATGAATATGAAAGCTAGGGCGTTCCCTCCATGCGACGCGCAGGGTGTAGACCTCCATCCTGTGAAAAATAAAGTAAAGGTCAAAGCAAAGAAGACAAGACTGGCAAGTTTGAATATTGAGACGCTTAAAGGTAAGACGAGAGAATTGGCATCAATGTTGAACAGGAGAAAAGTTGATATAGCGTGCATACAAGAGACGAAATGGAAAGGACAGAAGACTTTGATGATTGGAGATGGATATAAATTGTACTATAATGGACTTGTTAGCAATAGGAACGGTGTCGGCATCATCCTCAGTCAAGATCTAACCTCCTCAGTTGTAGAAGTCAACAGGATCTCTGATAGACTAATGAGGATAAAACTCTGCATTGGTCAATCAATACTACACATCCTATCAGTATATGCTCCTCAAACGGGTTGCAAGGAAGAAGAGAAAGATGACTTTAGAGCTATCCTTGGAAATCCCTAAGGATGACCTAGTCATAATTGGTGGTGACTTAAATGCGCATGTGGGGAAAGCAAGAGATAGCTACAAAAGGCATCATGGTGGTTTTGGATACGGAGAAAGAAATGATGAAGGAGAGCACGTACTGAAATTTGCGCAAGCCTTCGACCTTGCCTTAACCAACACCTACTATAGGAAAAAAGACAGTCATTTAATAACATATGAAAGTGGTACTAGGAAAACACAGATAGATTACATGCTAATCTCTCGCAGAAGATTAAAAGATGTAATAGACTGCAAAGTCATCCCAGGAGAAGATATCGCCGCCCAACACAAGCTACTAATCATGGATTTACAAATCTCAAATAAATCCACTCAAAATAAGATAAAACTGGAACCAT